GACTCATATGAGCCCTGAGCCGAGGAGAGATGACATTGAATAATTTGTGTGTTTCTTCTTAGCCAGGTCTCTTCCCTAAGGCTAGCACTAAATAAAAAAAATATTAAACAAGCTTCAGACTAGAGGAAATCCAAGTCAGGAAAGGAAACACAGCTGGTATCATTGTTTAAACTGGAATGTAGAATATATATTGAACTAATGATGTTATTTTCACAAAGAAATATGACTGTGTCACTGTCATTGAACCATTCAATCCTTAAAAAGAAAAGTTTCGAAGCAAGTTATTTACAACTTAGAAAATTAAACTCTGACAGGAGTTTGTCTCATTGTTCATCATCGGTCATTGTTGTCATCATGTTTTATTCATTCGTATTCATTGTCAATATCTGTTTGGTTCTTTTTCAGTCCAAAGTTACTGTCTAATCTCATCAGGAACATTTCTTCTCAAACAATGTTGTTCTTACATTTATCTATAATGGTGTTTCAAAATGCAGATGTGAGAAAAGTTCTAAAACCTGTCTCCTAAGTCCCATCAGCAAATTTAAAATTCTTGTGCTCTGTTTCCATTTCTTGCTCTCCAGATTTTTGCTTAGCCACCTTCACAAAAACACCACGAGAGCAGCCGGCTCACGACAAAATTCCACACCATCAATGATTTTAATTTCACAGAGTGTGAATTGCCATTTAATATTTCCTGCACACGACTGAGAAGACAAAGTTTGGACTGTTTTGGAGATTTAGTTTCATTGGTAAACAAAGCCGCTCCGAGCGGGAGACTATCTCTGAAGGAGAGATGGGAATCGTCCAGATGTGAAGCTCTGTGTGGGAAAGATAATGGGATCTCTGTGCATCTCTGTGGCTGTTACAGGGTCCAAGATTCTGCCGCACTCAACATGACTGCACTTTTTTTTTATTCATGAAATATGGATTTGTGTACCACCAGGAAGAAATGCTAATCACCGTGCGTGCCTCTCAGGGCGTGACGTTTACGCAATATCCCGGTGACTTTGTGTGACTGTGGTGTGCACGTATGTGAGTGTATTTCACAAAGCTGAATTAGATTTGGGTTTTTCAGGCAAAAAGGGGGAAAGAGACGCATGAAGGAGCGGTGCTATGAGGCTCATAAATAGTTTAGCCCCCGAGAGAAGATTTATCAAGTTGTGCGAGGGATAAATCGCACATGTGCCCTCTGCTTTTTACGTAGCATTTCTGCCCTCTAAACCTAGAGACGAGACGGTGATTAAAGATGTGGCGCTGTGTTTGAATCTATAATCCACTGACATTTCTACTAATCTGATTCAATATATGTGTCTAATTGTACAGTTCCACCTTCCTAATAAGCGTGGCACATGCACACCGTCAATCCTTATATCCACACACAAACAGATTACACAGGCAGGATCAGTGACTGGCTATGGGATCAGCCTATATTGACAGTAATGAAAACGTGTCATCAGCATGTAAGCTAATTTACTCCACTTTCTCCCAGCACACACATTTGAGCTGAGATTCACGCGGCAGCAGCCTGAACCGTGTCACATAAAGCCCAAACACTCCAATCGATAGTGATCTGTTGCTCTGGATCGCAGAGTGACGTGACAAACATCCTTGTAAGCTGCTGCAAGCAACAATTTCCTCCAAATTGAAAGGCCCTGAGGCCCTTCAGGCGCTGCTGTTATTTGGCTGCTGTTTTCTCCTCATGGCCATCCGTGAAGGATGAACCTCTCTATAGATCATTTCTGTCTCTTTGGATGGAGCCCAAGCTCCATCACCATAGCAATGGCTGTTTAGCTGACACCCCAAGAGACACAGTCATTCCACAGATTGCCTGAAAGAACGAATTTGTGTGTGCGGCAGCGGATTTCTCAAAGCTTTGAAAGTGTGTGTGTGTGTGTGTGTGTGTGCTGTTGTGTTCCTTCTGGTGTCACCTCCATTTGTTGGTATGAATTATAGATCAGGGTCGGCCTGGGATTTATGATAAAGGCCGAAGAGTCTCCCAGTCACACACCTGAGCCCTCTTCTCAATTTTAAAGCAAATAGAAACAAAACTTTGGAGCACACTCTGTCACGGCCCCACTGCCCAGATGACCACTCACATCCCCGGCTGTTGGACGAGTTATTGCTTTCCTGTGAGTCTTCAAGATGTATGAAAGTCTTCTTCCATCCATCACAGCTATTGCCTTTCCACAATTTCCTCTCTGCCCCGGCTGCCGTCCTTGGCTAGCTCATCCCTAGGACCTCATATGTAACATAAGTTACGTTAAAACTCAAACATTTTATATTGTATTTATATATATGTGTTGTGTTATATATACAGTATGTATATATATATAATATATATGTGCGTGTGTGTTTATGTTATCTCAATATATATATCAATATATATGTATATAAAAAGTCAGAGCAACCCTGTTGTTTCTGCTGCCTCACTGAGATAGCCATGTCGATCCTTTTCAACAGTCCCTGTTTTTTTCCTAAACTCCTCCTGCCTCCCCCCTCCATCGCCTCACCCCCTCTCCTCTCCCCCCCTCAGAGGAATGCTGCAGTGGGTTTTCATTACTCAACAAGTCAATCTTCATCATTGTGTCCTCTGTGTGCTCTCATTGACTGAAACAAACATCCTGCTGTACTTGGAAAATGTGGTCTTTAATGCAAATCTTTACACACTGTCTGCTAATGACTTTTCTCCACCTTCTGATTGTGTCCCGGGGGAACCGTAGATTTGGTGAATTGGTGGGTAAATGGCCAGTGTGACAATTTGAGCAACATTTAAAACAGAAATCACCCTTTTTTGGTATGCACAGGCATTTGCAGTTGCACAAGATAATATATTAGATATTATGCTAATGTGGGGTTTGTTGTTCTGTCCCTGAAATCCATTGTTGGGTTTGGGTTGCAGGCCTGCTTATCTACAATGGGCCTGTGGGAAGGTAAGGCTGCCTCGCTGAATACCAAGTGAAGGAATTTGCAAGTGTTCACACCTTAGACCAGACCTGGGCACAGAGGGCCGCTGTGGCTGCAGGTTTTTCTTCCAACCTATCCAGAACACACTGACTGACCAATCAGCTGTCTGAAGACTCATGGCAGTTGATTAAATAAGTCAAGACAGGTGTGCTGCTGCTTGGTTGGAACAAAAACCTGCAGCCACTGCGGCCCTTTGTGGACCTAATTGCCCACCTCTGCCTTAGACCCTTTCACTACCAATAGTATCAATGCCTATTATTATTGATAAGCCAAGGAACAGCTTCTTCTGAATATTTGATTATACATATACGTATTTAGTGGAGCCAGCTAACATGTTTTTATCCATTGGTTATTTTGCGCTTGGCTTGTACAAATAAAGGGGTTAATTAAATTAAATCAAGATATTTTAGTTTTGATCAGAACCGTTAGACATGTACTACAGTGACTCAGAATCTAGGTAATTTATGAGAACATGATAGAATTCCGCTTGATTACAGGACCTATTCACAATAAGACCACATTCACTCTGCAGGTCTTAAAGCCCAAGTCAGATTTTTTTACTAAGATCATTCCTCATTTTTTGAGTTGTTCATGTGGGGTGGTTCACTGTTACTAACCCATGCCCAGGCAGTGAGCCGTGTTGATTCATTAACAGTAACTTGCTTAATCTGTCAATAACATCTGATCAATTCTGCCACCTGCAGTATAGAATTGCGATGTCCTTTTTACATGTAAAAATCTGATGAAATGCAACATGACTGTTTCAGACTGAGGTCCCTTTGAAAAACTGCAGCTATGTATCAAATTTGGACCACATATAATGGCGGCCAGGGTCTGATTTTAAAAAATAGTCCTCTTTGTGCTGTTACACCTCAGTAACAATCAGATAAGGGTCACATATTGGCAAAAAGTCAGATTTGAGGGACTTTGTCTCGGGTGTGAAAATGGTAAAGGTCTGAATAAATCCTAAAGAGGCAACAAACATGTAAACCAATGCAGACACAGACATCCGAAAATAGACGATCTGCAGCCATCCACTAGTTCACCCCTGAGACAGAACCTTGTTTAGCATTTAGATTGGCTCGATCAACCACCAGTTAGCCAACATATGCATGTGTGTGTGTGAGTGTGTTGGTTGTGGTGGAGTGTAGGCACTCCCACCAGCGCAGTTCATTGTGTGTGGCCCGATGGATGTTCTTTTTGTGTGCACTTGTGCACTTGTATGTGATGAGCCGTGGCTAATGCTCTTGGAGAACACTTCAGGCCAAGGTTGGCAATAAGAAGTAGGGAGGCAGTGAGCCAGGGTCACACCAAGTTACTCATCAATCTTTCAGAGGGAAGCCAACTATCAGCACCAACAACAACCACAGCAGTGGTAGAATCTACACCATCAAGTCCACACAGCTTCCTGGTGGTTGGTGCTGTAAATGTCTAAAAAAAAAAAATCACAACACAAAATCCTTTACCTTAACACCTTGATCCCGAGTTTTTTTTAACCTTGGTTTTCAAATGCAGTCACCTGAAATGTCTAGTAGTTGATAAAATAAAATACTGATAATATTTTTTTCATGTAATTATTATTTTTTGCTTTAATTTATATATATATATATATATATATACATATTTAGAATCATGACACACAATCTTAGACAACTGTATTCTCTCATTTTCTTAAATATTAATTGAGTTCAAATTAATATTGATATTGATAATGAATATATAGCATATAAAAAATCTAAGCTGCATTGATTGATGCTGCTAAAATGTTTCTATTATACATATATATACTCTGTCATTATTATAGTATATATTTATCATTATATTATATATATTCATATATATTCACAAGCGTAGTATCAGTAAAGTACAAATAAATATAATAACCCCCTTTGCTTTCGCGCATGCGCAAATCTTGCTCCCCACCACCGTAACCTCTCTAAAGTTTGTCCAAGTGGAGTTGCCGTTTATTGCCTGTCCAAGATTGCGAGCAGGAAACTACTTCGACGCCCAATTAAAACGTCATCACTCCCCGCCAACGCTTGTTGTGTGTGACACGTGTGAAAAAGTTTGCTGCTCGCTTTTAAAGCCACAGTTGTACGAAGTTGTTCCTAATTTGCAGCCGGGCTGGATTAACGGCTAAGATGACTTTATTTATTAATTAATTGACTAGAAACTAATTGCAGACTCACGTCAGACTGCTTTAGATTGTTTTATTCATTTAATTATATTTTACAATTTTAATGTTTTAAAAGTACAGCTTCAGTATATTCGTTAATTATTAATAATAGTTAATTTTAAAATAAACTGTTTACATTGTAATAATTGTGTAATCCACGTCAGACTGCTTTAGAATGTTTTTATTCATTTAATTATATTTTACAATTTTAATGTTTTAAAAGTACAGCTTCAGTATATTCGTTAATTATTAATAATAGTTAATTTTAAAATAAACTGTTTACATTGTAATAATTGTGTAATCCACGTCAGACTGCTTTAGAATGTTTTTATTCATTTAATTATATTTTACAATTTTAATGTTTTAAAAGTACAGCTTCAGTATATTCGTTAATTATTAATAATAGTTCATTTTAAAATAAACTGTTTACATTGTAATAATTGTGTAATCAACAATGTTTGAACAGATGGGATTTCTGCACATGGAGACCATGTTAAAGACATTCAGTGTCAAAGTACACTCCTGAAACTGAAAGGCAAGATGAGAGTCAAACTAAGGTTTTTTATTTTAATAAGAAATAAGCAATAATGTTAACATGACTCGTCTTTGTTTTTGATATATTTTGCAGTGGTCATCATGAAGATCTTAATGATTTTGGGAGCCCTGTTAGTGTCGATCCTTCAACATGTAACATCGTCTTTATTGTGACCACAGTCACAATTTACTCATTGTCCTAAATACACACACAGACATAAAGCTTAAGGTGGGGAGTACTATGTATTTACATTGTTTTTGTAAACTGTATATGTTATAATGGGTAGTGTCGTATTAGTTAGTGTGGGATTTTGTGTGTATGCTTGAGTGGTAAAAAATAGTATCTGCATGTCAGTGTCACTGTCTTTCACCTTACTGTCACCTCAGGTTCAACCAGAGTTCAGTAGCCCCAATGCTGCTTTAATGGGAGTGCTAAGGGGGAGAGAGGGAGACAGAGAAGAAGGGCCAGTGTGTGTTTTCAGCTCTCCACCCAGACTCCTCAACTGCAGAAAGTTATGACTGCGCAAAGTAACGGTTATTGTGTGTGTGTGTTTGTTCCAGTGTAAAATCATGACAGATGTCCAATCTTAGATGAGCTGGAATTCTGTGACTCTGTTGCCTGAACATGTTTTTATAGCCTGCTGTGACATTAGAGTTTTTGTCTTTATTTCCGTCTGTTTTCAGGTAGAGCATTTATGGTGACCGACCACTTTTATCACCGCTTACTCGCCGCTGCAAATTCACGCGTTGTCACCAGATAGCTGTGAAAGACGGGCGGCAAAATAACATAAAACGGTGGGAACAATGAATTTACCATGTTGGCACATTTGTGTTTATGACCGTTCACCACAGATGTGTTGTGCTGGTAATAGGGCTCTGAGAGTAAGCTGCAGAGCAGATTCAAAGCAGTTGTGGTCTAGGAGAATGGAATGTGTTGATGTGAGTGTGTGTGAGACTTCATCTGTGTGCAGACAGAACGAAGAGCTAAAGCAGATTTGACAGACTGTCGTAGGCACTAACACTACAAATGGCTGCCTGGATGGAAATATCTTCATCATCCTAAACAAATAAGCTGTCACTCAGCCCACAACCCTGTTGAGTGGCATCTTTCTTTGTCTCTGTGTCTCTCCACCTCTCAAAATATCATTTTTGATGATGTCATAACAGTGGTTACATTCAGTCTGACCTACATTCACCTTGAAAGTGAGAAGTGACGTGCTCTGCTCACTTTCTGTGAGAGTTGTGAGCTTTTTCTCTCCTGCTTTCCAGCCCAATAAGTGAGTCCTTTCCATGATTCAGTAAACAAATTAAAGCACCCTTTGTTGTCAAATGGATCTTAACTAAGACATTGGTTTGTAAAGTTTTAAACACTTAATTTCTCCACTGTGCCATAGAAATGAGAAGAGACTTTGGTGTATTCACCTAAGGAACGTCTTTGGCTGTTTTTAAATTGCTTGTATTATTACAGAAGAAATCTTATATGAATACCAGCCACCTCATTGTCCCTGATGTTAAAATGCTGACATTGTTGATTTACCTAAATTAACCACACACAAGAGTAATGCAATGATGAACTGCAAGAGACAGACACACAAGACAGACATTATGGAGTATTGGGTTGCTCGATCAAGTATTTGAAAACTGTTTGAATCAGTCACGATGATACAGAAGTACAATGCTGTATGTCATCAAGACCTGAGGAGACTGGAGGCTGTCTCCGTCTAGAAACCTTGGTGCATATATTGGTCAATATATTGGCCTGAAATACATTAGCCCATTATCTTCTGTGTAATATTCTATTGGAAACCAGTAATATAATGAATCCCTTCTTTGTATGGATTTACTTTGTCAAATAAAGACAACGTTTGAACGGTGCAACAAATATTCTGCTCCCCTACAGGGCAATACTGCAAGTGCAATACTGCTGATGCTTTTAATTTAAACTTATTGAACTGAAACAGAAATGTAAGGGACTTATTATTATTATTTTTGCTTTAAACTAATAGCAGACTTACATCAGACTGCTTTAGAATGTGTTTATTCATTGAATTATTTTACCATTTTAATGTTTTAAGTACAGCTTCAGTATATCCAAAGTGAATTTTAAAATAAACTGTTTATTTTTTGCATTGTAATAATTGTGTAATCAACAATGTTTGAACAGATGGGATTTCTGCACATGGAGACCATGTTGAAGATATCCAGTGTCAAAGTACACTCCTGAAACTGAAAGGCAAGGTGAGAGTCAAACTAAGGTTTTCTATTTAATAAGATGTAATAATTTGACAAAAGTTGTGCTCACACTAAAACTTCAGTGGTAAACTCTGTCTTTGATTTATTTTACAGAGTGGTCATCATAAAGATCTCAACAAGGTAGGGAGCGTCTTTTTTTTTTTTCACCTACCACGCAGCCGTGTCTGCTGTCC